TTTAGGAGTTTAAATACCTGAATCAGATCTCCCCTCTTTCTTCTCCTCGCCAGTGAGCAAAGCTCGAGCCTCTCCAGCCTGTCATCATATCTAAGGTTCCTCAGTCCTGGAAACTATCTAGTAAAGTACCGCTTTGTCTTCTTGAATACTTTTATATCCCCAACTAGATATGGGCTCCAGACCTTACCGTATAGATCAGGAAACAGGGAAAACTACAAGCTAATGAGCTTTCTCCTCCTTCAAACTGGACATTGGACATTGGACCAATGTGCAAGCATGTGCTTTGGCAACGCTCGTGGTCAAACTTTCTAGGTAAACGGTTCAACCCAAATCCAACTGGTGGATCAGCACAAAATTCTTGGTTTCTGGCTGAATAGCAATTTATCATTTTCTTCCCACAACCGAAAAACCAGTAAAACTGCCTTTCCTACCTTAAACTTTATTAAACGTTATTTCCCACGCATAACCAAACGGGACTTACCTTTGCTCCATGGAACATACATACGCTCGGTTTTAGAATATGGCAGCCAAATTGTACTTTATGGCCTCATTCGTGACTGTGACTCTCTAGATAATGTGCAGTGAAGGTCTATGAAATTGGTCTATGAAAAATTGGCTTATCAGAACTCTTTTATCTTATCCGATTACAACAACTGAATCTATATCCCTCAGATATACAACGAATCAGAGGGAATCTATTTCTTCTGTATAACCTCTTCTCATCAGGCCAAGTTGACCGTTTCTTCACACGCTCTAGTCTGAAAATTTACGGAGAAACCCAAGAAAACTCTTCAAACACCGGCCCATAAACTTCATTCACTCCGATTTCTTCACTCACAATGTCATCTTAGAATGGAACAAACCTCCACTAGAGATTGTGAACTCCTCCTCCTAAGGAGTCTTCAAAACTCTGCTAGACTCACACCTAGGGCTTACCCTTCCGTAGATCTAATTGACCTCCATCTCCTGGAATACACCACTTTCTCCTGCTTGTCCCTGTTACCTCTTCCTCTCACATCCTCCCTTTCCTCCTCTTAATTTTTCCTGATACATGCACCCTTAACCCAGCGGCGCCAAATTTGATCCCGCTGCGTTTTCCGTTAACATCCCTTTCAGCTCGAAGAACCGAACTGCAGAAAAGAGGACAAATACAGAACGGAGAATATTGGGAGCAAGCCTCGAACCGGAGTACTATTTCAGGACTGCAAGACTTCAACGAACTCCGAGACCCATCCCAGGTCTTTAAGTCTTTGATGCGCAATGAGACTCGGTCTGGGAATTCATGCTGATCAGCACAAATCTGAAACGGTGAACAAAATAGTTACAATTTACTACTTGATACACGAATAAGGCAGCCAGCAAACACCACGTTCTCGATCGATACACGACAGCGAGAAGACTAACTACCGTGGAGCAGCGTGCATTTGGAACAAGTCAGTCAGTTGTCAGTAGAGGCTGTACAAGGAGGATCATTGGTGGGGACTGATGACTATTCGTATTCATGGTTCGGTTCGTCTGATTCTGGTTGCTGATAACCACCTTCGACGCAGGCGATCTGGCTGCCTGTGAAAGGAAAGATGAGACAGAGAGGGATTATGGTGGAAATAGAATAACAACAAAAGGCACCGATTATCCACTGACCTTTACCGCTACATCATCCTCTTCTTAACACCAACACGGCCTTTGGCTGCATCTTCCACTTGCTCCTCGGTCCCCGTACGGCTAGGTTCATCTACTGTGGCACCACCTCTCGTAACTGGTTTGAGACGGTTGTAATGCACCGTCATAGGTCTCGTCGTACGGCCATCAGTTTGAACGATGCGGCAAGTAGCATCCAACCACAATTCTTACACCGTATACGATCCCTCCCAGCTCTTGTGAAACTTTACCGGCTTCCCATGGGTGGAAATAGATTATACAGCAACACCTCTTCCCCTGCAGAGGCGGAGACGAATGGGAGGAGAATAAAACTCGNATATTCACCACCCGCAGTGATAGGAGCCAACAAGTGGCTTTCTATCGAAGAGAATCTGGACGCTTGATTGACGGTGGCAAACTGACTGTCTGACTAACCAACTCTCCGAGTTGTACTTGTTTTCCGTTCGCATTCTTGTCGTAATGCTCCTTCTGATGTCTATTCACTCTTCAAACAGTTGGTGAGCTTGATGCGGTCACTATTCTAAGTTCCAAGTGTATTCAGTTGATGAAAGGATATCTGATGCGAGGAACGGCATGCAAATGTCGGATGGTAGTCGAACTTTGAGCCTGATTAACATGTGGTGTCTGTTTGATCGACGGATGAACCGCAGCTCGGTATGCCAATAAGCACGAGGTGAGAGCCAGATGCAAGTCCCTCGTGGTGCATTCGTTGATAAATGCCCTTAGTACTCCTTTCAGAGACCGTTGGTTCCCTCGGTTTGCCCAATTCCTTGCGGGTGGTAGGCCGTTATGCCCGTCTTCCGGATGCCGCAGACTTGACACAATTCTGCGACTACCTCGTTCTTGAAGCTGGACCTCCGATCTGAATGCAGCTGGATGGATGCACCCCAGCTTGAGATCCAATTGTTGAATATTGCATGGGCGACATAGACCGCAGCTGTAGACGGCATGGGCACCGCTTTGCACCATTTCGTAAAGTATTCGACCAAGACGAGAATGTACCTTTTCACGCGTTCCGTCCCCGGCGATGGTAAGATTATATCCACACCGGTCAGCATCGATTGTACAGGTGCTTGGTGGTACTGCAAAAGTGTTTCCACTCGGATGCACTTGACACACCTATTGCAGAAATTTACGATATCTCGCCGCTGCTGGCTCCACCAAAACCGGCTAGACACAACGTGGTCTATTTTGTGCAACCCGGGGTAACCCGGTTCCTGATGTAATTTATTGCTGCAACCTTACTTTGTGATACCACTATTTTTGGTTTATAATTCCGTGCGCCTGATACAGCACGCTATCCGTAATTTGTAGTTTAAACCAAGCGGACAACAGGCAGCTTTCCCAGCTGTTATGGGTCACTTCATCCTTTGTCCGTTTGCCTTCCCCAGCCTGGATTTGCGCGTAGATCAGCTTGGTCTTCGGGTCCGTGCTCTGTGCTTGGGTCCATTCCATGAAGCTCGAATAATTCGGAGATACCAACAAGATGGGCATTCTTCGTGGCACGCGTGCCGTCTGGAGGGGCATCGGCGTTGGCGTGTTTCTTTCCGGGTCGGTGCTGGTACTCGAGGTCGTAGGCTTGCAACTATTCTTGCCACCACGCGACTTGAACTTCTGGCTCCTTGAACGTTTGTAGCCACTTAAGTGACTGATGGTCCGTTTGAACCGTGAATCGCCTACCCAAAAGCAAGTGTTTAAACTGCTTAACATACGTCACCAAGGCAAGCATCTCCTTCCGTGTAGTACAGTAATTTCGTTCTGGTTTGCTCAGACATCGGCTGGTGCAGGCAATCACATGCTCTTTTTGATCCTGACCGATCTGCGACAGGATCACCCCGATCCCAGTATCCCTCGCTTCCGTCTTGCTATGAAGAGCCCGGCGGCGATTGCCACGTCAGGAAAACTGAGGATCGGTGACTGAATCAAGTTTTTAATGCTTCGAACGCCAACTGGCACTCGGCACTCCCCAAATCTTCCTCTCTTTCTCCTTTGATCGATGAGGAGGAAATGCTATCTTCGCGTATCCTTCAACGAACCGACAGTAGTAGGAGGTAAGTTCCAAGAACTGACGGACCTTTAATGAGGATGATGGTACCGACCAGGTAGCTACTTTGTCAGTCAGATCATTCTGTATGCCGTCCCCACTAATGACATGTATAGAAATGTGACTTTGCTACGTAAAAATTCAAATTTACTGTTTTTCAGTCACAGTCCTTCTCTTTTAATGGCGTGTAGCACTTCCTCTAGATTATCTAAATGTTCATCTAGGATGTGCCCATGCACAGTGACGCCATCCAAATAAACCAAATGACATCGTTTAAAACTAAAACATTCCAGAAGGGATGCAGAAAGCGGTCTTCACTTGTCGTTTGGGTGCATCTCCACTTGCCAACATACAGAGGCTGAAATATTTGCACCTCCCAAGGCTTGCAGGGTCTCATCGATACGTGATACCGGGAACCCATCTCTGCGTGTAACCTGATTTAGTTTCTGGTAGTCTACACAAAGTAGTATCGCTCATATTTCCTTCTTCACTGTGACCACTAAAGATATCCATGGCGATCGGGATAACCTGATGATTCTTTCCTCCAGCATCTCGTGGAGTAACTTTCCAAACTGAGCTCGATNGGGGGGGGGGGTTTCTTACGGGTAGTGCCCCTTGTGTGTTATTGCAATGTTGGATGACCTTGGTTCTGCCTAGAGAAACGCCCTCCCACGTGTATTCAGCCTGGCATTTGATCAATAATGCATGAATGCAACCCATCTGTTGTGACGAGGTGTCCGGATCGGCGCGACAGAGAAGCCTTGTGACTTGGCCTTGCAGATCTACGGGATGCACCTCCAAAACCCAATCAGGTCCTCCCACGGCGTGTTCTCTCAGGGATACTCTTTTCCTTCCGAATATCAGTGCGTCCTGGATAGCATCAATGCTGCACTGAGAAACCCGGAGGAAATTTATTCTCAAAATCAAATCGTACAGAATTTCTGGTGAGATTACCATTGGACGCGTCACCAATAGTTAGACTCACTTCGGATACGCCATACACATGTAACGGATTCCCATTAACCGCTTTTAATTGCATTTCACCCACCCTATCTATACCTCTGGGGCATAGCTTGGGAACTGTCAAGCTGAACGCAGCACCTGTGTCAACGAAAGCTTTGGCGCTCTGGCCCCCAATAGTTACAGTTAACGGCCGGATGACAGTGGTAATGCTAGAGATGCATATCGGTGAAAAGACTGAAGAAACCCTCTAGAAATCACCGTGTTGTAAACTTTTCGGCTGTCCATATGGCTCTGATGTTCGCGGCACACTGCTGAACTAGGGACTCCATCTCCATTAAACTCGACTTAAGGGGACAGTCGCCATTGGATCAAAGACACCGGCAACGGGCGGGTTGATGATCTTCGGGTCAGAGGTTCTTGGGCGTATCGCGCCTTCCGTGGTCCGTGAAGTGTCGAATTTCCATGCTCGGTTAACTGCTTTCAGTAGACTTGCCGCTGGATTTGCAGCTAACTCCTGTCGGGCAGTCTCAATCCGCAAACCGTCTTGCAGTCGTTTTTTGGCCAAAGCTTTGCGCAACTCCAGCGACCTGGAGCCAAAAGCTTTGTGGACCAGGGCCCTGACGGTGGCGGTGTACTCTCCGACGGTCTCGTTCTCCGTCTGAACCCTCCGCTAAAATGTGTTTGTGAACAGCAGAATTAGTCGACCCCTCTGCGAAGGTTTCGGTGGCCTTCTAAATCTTTTCTACCGGCGTCTTGTCGCCTACACCCTCTTCCTCCAGGATATCCTGCAATCTTTCGCTGATTCTATCCAAAACGAAGACAAACTGCTCTCGTCCTAGCACCGAAGACAAGTAGCTACACATCTTCCGGTGGAAACGCAGCAGATTTGTTCCCACAACGAATAGTGGCGGGGGGTNGGCGGGGGTTCCAACCGTGGTAAGCTGCCACTGGAATAAGTGCTGGCAAGGGGTCTACAATCCCATGTGCTACAAGTTTGTGGAAAGGAGCGATGTGTGGTGTCTTGTCAAAAGCCTTTGCAAAGTCAGTGAAAACTACATGAAAGATCTTGCCGGAATCGTAGGCATTGGTCAGGCTATCCATGACAGCCAGCATATTGGTGATGCAAGACCTGCCAGGTAGAAATCCGTGCTGGAAACGAGAAAGAAGGTCATTGACCCCAAGGTGCTTCCGGAGTTCATCTTTCATAAGACGCTTGATAATTTTGCTGGGGGTGCTGGTAAGGGAAGTGGTATGGTAGCTAACAGGGAAGTGTTTACTGCCTTTTTGTAGATGGGACAAATATCCGCTTCTTTCCAGCTTGCGGGAAAGCTCACCTCGTCCATACTGCTTTGGAAGAGAAGAGTGTACGGGACAGCTAGTTCACCAGCTGACTGCACCAGTAACCTGGGCTGTTTATTATCAGGTTCCATGGAGCAGTAGGTCTGGTATCACAGGACGAAAAATGTTTTCGACAACCAAGCGTCCTGATTCTTGCTTCGGTAGGAAGGTTTCTTCTCCCAAAGATTCAAACTCGTTTCAGTCGCTGTCCAGCAACTGTTTTCCGGCAGGAAACTGGTTCCAGTACGATATCTGTAAGAAAGATTAGTTGGAAAATAAAAAGCATGTCAACTCTAAACAACCTCAAATCCCGCTGCTATACTACCTTTGGGTGTATTTGAATCCAAACCCTGTCTAACTGTCCCTTGAAGTCGACTGTAGTCGCACATTTCATCAGGTTCGGTGGTAGCTGATTCCACCTATCGACCACTCGGTTCATGTAAAATTTAAATCGCACACCGAGGCGAACCCATAATTTTAAAAGCTTTAAACTGTCCCCTGGTCACCCCTACGGGCGTCCGAGTGAATAAAACTTCTGCGCTTACGGCGATGAATCCCTTAATTATCCTAATTGTTTCTATAAGGTCACCCCTAGGGAGTACTTTTTCCATGGAAAAGAGGTCTAATGCTACAAGCCTTTCTTCATATGAATTGCCCCTCATGCCCGAGACCATCCGAGTGGCAAACCTTTGAACCTACTGGATGCACTTAATGTCTTTCTGAAGGTAGGGTGCACAGGCCTGGACACAGTATTCTAGGTGGGGTCTTACCAGTGCCTTATACAGCGGGATAAAGACTTCTGCCTTTCGAGTGGTCGGTGTATTTCTCAACCGGAATAGTTGACCTCT